ACATCTAGCAGCTTGGGAGTTATAATATTTCCCCTGTCTCATTTGGAGGTCTGGTATCATTCCTGTATCATGGATATTACTGTGACACTCTTTTATTTTTGAGACGGGGTCATAGTATGTAGTTCAGGTTGGCCTTGAACTGATTTTGTAGCCCGAGCTGGCCTCAAATTCATGACAATCCTCTTGCCTCAGCCTCTCAAGTGCTGGGATTACAAGAATGTGCCACCACATATGGCCTTTAACACTCTTTTTAACTATAGTTCTTATTAGTATGCCTTTGGAAAGGTCTATGAAAGTGAAATTTCTGGATCAAGGAGTAAATGTCACATAAAGTATGTTGTGAAACTCTTGGACCTTGTTCACTGTGACAGACAAGAAATGGTTTTACATGCAGTTATAATTTTCATTGTTCTCATTAGACAAAAGTAAGTACCTATTTACATGCTTAAAAGTCACCTGAGTTTGCCTAAAAGGTTTTCCCTTAAATTTTAGAACTTTAAGTATTTTTCTGCTTGTCATTTGTCTTTCAAAAATATATTTAACATTTAAAGACACATTTACCAACTAGCTGTTCAGTGAAAATTCCCAAAAGCAATGATAGCCTGCAGCACACTTGGTCTTGATTTTCCAAAACCATTCTCTACTACATGGAAGGAAGGTTTAGAGAAACAGATCTGAGTGACATCAAGACACAAATGAGGACCAAAAGCAGTGGCATATGGCTGGCAGCAAAATATAGCACCTCTGGGACCTGGAATTGAGACATCTGGAAAATAAAAACTTAATGTTAAAAAAAAAAAGCAAAAAAAAAAAAAATCCTTATCAGCTCTTTAAGTGGCTGCTTCAACAAAGCAGTCAGGCTCAGGTTGCTGTGGTTCGATCCCCACAACTCAAGCCACCCAAACCTACCCTGAAGGCATTCAGAGGAAAAAAAAAAAAAAAATCCTTAAAAAACAACGACAAAAAAAAATAAAAAAAAAATTTAAAAAATTAAAAAAAAATTAAAAAAAGTAGAGCTCCTGGAATCAAGAGCCAACAGGAAAACTAGAAACTACAGAGAAACTGAAGACACAGGCAGAGAAAAGAATAAACAATCTGGATTGCTAATCCAGTCTTCTGGGGAGGTTCAGTCTCTGCAAACACAAAGGAAGCCCATAGAAGGTTGCCAGTCCCAGGGAAAAACAGCAATCTGGCAGTACCACCGAAACAAGAGCCCATTCTATTGTGAGCTGCAAATAGAAAGTGGGGGGTTTGCTCTAAAAATAGCAGGCTAGCTTTGGAAAAGAAATCCACTGCAGTGCCTGTTCCATCTTGGAATGATATCCTCAGGAGCCATTTTGAGGAGAGAAGGAGTTTATTAAGACTAAGCTATCCCGGGAATCAGAAGTCACAGAACCATTATGCTTCAGGGTCTCTGGGACCAGAGTGACTTGGTGGGAGACAGCCACAAAAGAGACACAGAGAAGGAGTGGGCCAGGTGCAGATCCTTTGAGAAGTTTAAGCAGTAGTGAGATCAGGTTGTGAAGGACACAGTGGTCCTACCCAGCAAGTGGTGTGGTTTTCTGAGGGGCATGTCTGAAAGTGCTGGCATCAAGTCCCTCAGACTGCTTGTGCCCCTCTGCCTACTTCAGGCACTGAGCTCAGTAGTCTGTTTGTCTTCTTATCCATAAGGTGGTCAGGGACTCATCTAGGCTTGGATAGTTCCACATTCTGGGATGCATGGTCACAGGGGCCTCTGGAGCAAGAGGTACCTCTGAAGCTCCCATAGGCCACAAAGCTAGTAGGAGACAGTGGTGATGGGGGTGCAAACACTGGAAGCTACTGGAGTGAAAGCAGCTTTAAAGCAGGGCAATATAGCCCTGATTGATCACATTGATTGGGAAAAGCAGGGCGGACTCAGGAGTCTCACAGTAAAGAGTGGTGTGGAAACAATATAGGGGTATAAGCACCAAAACATAGCCAAACCAAAGGACACATCACAGGGAGACAGAAACTAACTACAGAGATCACAGCAATAGTGACAGTTTCTCTGCTCCATCTCCAACCCATACCCCAAAACAATAGAAACATGAGAAAACAAGGCAACAATTGCCCCTAACCCCCCGCCTCCCACCAACAGATCTCAGATACTGGAATACGAAGCTATGTGCAAAGACTCAACAAACCAAATGGTTAAAAAGTTTGAAGAGACAAAATATGAAACATAAGCATAAGACATTTAAGAAGTTCAAAGACGATTTAATTAGACAAAGAATTTTATCAATGAAATGTTTCATAAGTTTAAAGAAACAAATAAAAAGCTAATTGAGTTGAGTAAGACAATACAGGTTACAAATGACCACTTTAGAAAAGAAGGTAAGCAGAGACATATGACATGAAAAAGTCATTGGAAAGTGTGGGTAGCAGACTCTACCAATGTGAGGACAATGTCAGAAATAGAAGGCAAGGTGGACACAGTAGCACCTAAACTCAAGGATATCCTAAAACGACGAGACACTGCAAGCTGGGTCCAACAGCTGCCCAATGAATTAGAGAAACAACAACCACCTCAGAATTACAGGAATAAAGGAGAAATTAAAGATAAAAGGTACAAACAACTTAATTCACTGAAATTATAGCAGAAAATTTTATATAAGTCTAGGGAAAGAATTTAATACTCAAGTACAAGAGGGATGCTATTAGAGGCCAAGACAGCCATGACCAGAAAAGAGCCTGTTTACAACAAATCATAATCAAAACTTCTGAAATTCAACAAAAGCAGACTAGTAAAAGCTGTTAAAAACAAAAGCAAAAACAAAACAGCAAGTGACCTATAAAGGCAAGTGTATCAGAATAACTACAGGTTTCTCTATACAAACATTAGGCCGGAGAGGTAGCTCAGCAATGTAAGTGCATGCCTCGCAAGTGCAAGGTCCTGACTTTGATCCCCAGTCCGAAAAAAAAAATACAAACGTTACATGCCAGGACATCCAGGAACAAAGTCTTTCAAGCTCTAAAATAATAATCGCCAACTCAGAGTTTTATATCCTGCAATATTAGTCTTCAAAGTCAACAGAAAAAGATTTTCCACAACAAAGAAATCCCAAAGAAATACATGACTATTAAACCATAAGAACAGGAAATAATTAGGGGAATCCTAGACAGAGATAAGGAGACCACCAGCACCAAACAGTCCAAAGGAAATCATACATTTAACTTGGAGAAGAGTTTCTCTCTCTCTCTCTCTCTCTCTCTCTCTCTCTCTCTCTCTCTCACACACACACACACACACACACACCCCAGAACTAATGCAATGATGCACTGACAGGGTCCAATAAACACCTTAGAATAATAACTCAGTATTAATGGACTCAACTCCCCAGTGAAAAGACACAGACTGGAAAATTGGATTAGAAAACAAAATGAAACTGTATTTCCTGTAGTATTAGTTATGGTTTATCTCCAGATTTTTGAGAGCCAATTGGATTATGGGGCTTATAGCTGACTTGCTGTTAGAGGTGGCATCTGTTCAGAAGTGGGTATGAAGCCAGCAGCAGACCTAGGCATCACCCAAATAGTAGTGATTTTACAAGCATGCAAAATGTAAGTTATAGGGCCAGGGAGACTTTCACCCAGATTTCACAAGAAGACCTGGCCGTGTGCCCCTGAGAGGGTAGTATGTGAAACTTCAAGAATTAAGCCAAAAAATGCAATGGAATAAAATATGACTGAAGAAAAAAAAATGCAATGGAGAGCCCAAGAAGCTGGAAAAGCCAGGAACACAGAAGATCTGAGGAAAGTCACAAGGAGTGAGCAGAGCCAGCACGAGAGAAAAGCCGTGAGGATTACATTCATCAGCAACTCTTCCCGAGCCCTTTGGAGTTCTCATCTCAGCACAGCTTGCCCTTGGTACAGAACACAGAGCTATGTGATTTTTTACCCCACTGAGTTGGTCTTGCTTTGGTCTCACTCACTTCTGTGCTCCTACTCCAGCCTTTTGGAGTGGGGATGTCTACCCTGGGCCTTTGCATCTCAGCAGTGTCTTTTTCTTCTTTAATTTTCACAGGGCTCACAGCTAAGAGTTTGCTCTGAGTCTCAGAGGAGACTTTGGACTTGGGACTTCTCAGTAATGATGAAACTGTTGACTTTGGCAATGCTTAGAGATGAACTAAATGCATTTTGCATAAAGAGATGCACATGAGTCTTTTGGGAGCCAGGGGAAAAATGTTTTGGCTTATGTCCCCTGAAAGCCTAATGCAATCACAGGTGAGGTTTTAGGAAGTGATAGATTATGGGGCCATTATAGCTGGTTCTGATAAGAGGTGGGGTTTGGTCACCAAGTACATGGTGCAGAGGGTATCTGTGCCTTCCTGTCTCCTCCCTTGACTCTCTGCTTCCTATCTGGCATGCTTCTGTGCCATGCTGCCCTACTTGGAACCAGCCAACTATAGTCTAAAACATAAGCCAACATAAAAATTTCTCAGGTAAATTGTGGGTTCTTCTTGTTCTTTCTTTCTTTCTTTTTTCTTTTTTTTTTTTGCGGAACCGGGGATTGAACTCAGGCCCTTACGCTTGCCAGGCAAGTACTTACTCTAGTGAGCCATTTTCCCAGCCCCCTCTTTTTGTACTTTCAGACAAGAAAGTAAGTGAGACCATGCTCCTGATAGTCTCTTTTTCTGCATTCTCTATAGTTCTCCATTTAT